ATTTGTGATGGAACCGAAATAATCTATTTGTTTATATTTTATTAATATGCTGATTTTGCTCACGTTATACTTAATAGATCATTCGAATTTATGACATTTTTCCTATGTCTGTATTTACTTACGTAGGAAGAGTCGTTTTTTTATTAATTATTGAGAAGCCTTGCTTTGACTTTTATTTCCCAAAGTAAAAATAGGGTATAAATAATGCATTTACATTCATATTTTTTAAATTAGGCTTCAACTACTTCCTATGCCAACTTACCGTTACTATGCCTCTGTCATCTGATCATTCCATAGCCATAAAATTGACACTTAACTATTTATTTTTTGTGAATTCTAATCAAACCATTTAAACCCTAGTCTCCTACCATATTTTGTTTAGCGTCTAGTTTCATGCGAGTTAGTAAGCAATGAAATAGTGAATTATTTTAGATTTGAGTGAACAGCATCATAACCTTTGTATTTCTGTATTATTTTTGTTTTCTCGTTATACTGCTTAGCTGATGGATTATTAGTTCCTAACTAAGAATCCAAGTTTCCCTAGACCGCATAATTTGATGGAGAACTGATAATTAAATTTTTCACAAGGATATGAGTAGGCCTCATGTTTCCAATGCATTTCACATATCCTTGCTTTCTAAAAGTTATTCTCATCCAAGGTGGACTGCAGTTTTACCTCGCCTCGCAGGAATCGAATCCTCGTAGTACAGTGTATAATCTCGACATGTTACTATCACGCCGCATTGCAATGAGTGCCCCTGAATCACAGGGCAGATGTACATTTCAATGGAGTCAAATTTGTATTTTGTCATTACAATCATCTTATTTACTTATTTTCATATAAACTAGGCTTCGGGCTATCACTAGTCCTCATCCTCTGTTTCATCAATTAGCATTATATTAAATAAACAATGTAACTATGGTGAATATATTGATTTCTAAAATGCTGTTGTCATAGCATTACAAAAATATTATTCTGCGAACTTATATTTTATTCAATTTGGGCTTCACTTTTTAATTCTGGCATATAAAAGTGGCTACCAACTTGCTGGCAGTATTTATTGTAGTTCTGTGCTTTATAACCATGGACATAAGTTGAATGCACAAGACAACTTTTATAGCCTATTATGAAGCAGTCAAAACCAATGGATCATTAAAATTGATGCCTTCTAAAATTCCAACCTAACTTATTGACCGGAATAGCATCCTATTCGTTTCAGTATTAATCAACCCTTCTATTCCCTCACAATCTTGTTTCAGAGCAATGACCTCAAAGCAGCCTCTTCCATGGGGTCGGCCATCCCAAGCAGCGACATCGCTCCTAGCACAACTTCCGTATCTGATTCCTCGATGCGCCCGCCAGTCACAGTGCCGCTTCCAATTACTGAAATAAATAAACAGGCCATTTTTAAGGCTAATGAGACGAAAAATGATATTACTTTGCCCCACAAAGGGTCGCCTCTTCTTATCTCTTGTCGGGTGGCGCGGTTAGAAAGTGGCCACAATTTACCAAACGGATCTATAAGGAAAGATACAATTACTCCATCTGATCCAGGTCCAACATCTGACGATCCATCATCAACGTCGGATGGCGGGGCCAACGCTCCATCCAGTCCCTATGCTGTTGCTGCTCGCCTCTCAAAGTCGATGGCTGAGGACGCACTGTTTCGCAATCCACAGGCGCCACCACTGGCAAAAAAATTTAAATGGAAGCCAGCACCTATTTACATTCCTCCTCAGGTTAACCTCTCCTACTTTTATTTAGGGTGACAATCGTTTCCATACTTTAATATTAGTAATCTTTATAAGTAAAATATTTTTTCACTTGCAACATCTAATCCATTTGCTATAACTTGGCACCTCTCTAAAATGCGGCGTTGACCTCCGACATTATTTTCTGAGAGCAAGGCCACAAGTAATATCTCTACTTGTCTTACTTTGCTCTTAAATTTAACTAAAAATTCCGCAGGGCAACCTTAAATAGATTTCTGAGTGCGATCTTAGGTCATAGAAAAGAATATTTCTTATATAGATTGTTCCTCGGTATCATTACTCAATTTATCACGTAATCTCAACTTAAAAGGGACTATGTGCTTGCCACACATTATTTCTTTCCTTCGTTCCTTCTCACTTTACTCTATTGATAGACAGATTACAGTTTTACGAAAACTATTCACCGGCCAAAGACGAATGATACCTATTTATTGTCTACACAATGGGAGGCATATACTTGGGAGATCTTTGAAGTCCGAAACATGAGCACAACTTTTATGCAGTCCTTAAAGCGCGTGCTTCTCACAGCCTTTCAAGTTAAAGAAGTAGGTTTTCTTCTCAGGCTGATCGTAATCGCCTTTATTCACTATATGCTACAAACTAACTAAGAAATCTTTTATATTGATTTTAGATTTACAATTGATTTGATTTTGAAGCTTTTCGAGGAATAAATAGGGAGGTTAGAGGTCTAGCAACTTTTGATCTTTGTACACTGGAATTCCTGCAAAAGTTCTATT